CTTATTAAATTATTAATAATTCTTGCTAGGAATTGCCATTTCAAAATTCTCCTGAAAATTCACTTGGAGTTCACCTCAGCATTTACTTAATACTATCCAGAAATTCCCATGGAATTATCTTAGGAATATTTTTTGTAGTTCTGCTAGGAAATTCCGAAAATTCTTCGAAATACTGCTGGGATTCTCCTTGGAATGATTTGGAAAAATAACACCGGAATATCGTTAGAATACTCCTCGAAATCTACTTGAAGTTTAGCCCAGAATTTTCTAATGATATTCCTAAGAAATCCGTTGGAAGTATTCTCAAAATTCTAATCGAATATATGTTGGAATTACCGTTGAATTTTGCTCCTTTCCTTGGTATTCAACTCACAACTATGAAATTCTCACCTGAAAAATTACTTGCAGTTTTGCTTAGATTTCACCACAACATTTGTCAGAACCCTCTTGAAATTTTTGACCGAATTCATTTGAGGTTCGATAGTAATCATACTCATATTCAGTTCTCATCCTATGATTTCTCCGGAAAGTCACATGGAAATATGCTTCGGATTCTTTTTGTCCCAGAATCTTCTTTAAATTATCCTCAGAATGTCCTCTTTTGTATTATCTTGAAGTTTTCCTCAGAATCAGTGGCGTTTCCTTAACCTCAATCTACCTGTGCACCAACTCTCAAACCATAAACAATTATCAAAATATTGCTTGCAATCGATAGATATCGAGTAAACTAGAAGATTAAGTGTATTTTTCAGTCGATTCGAGTATGAATATGGTATTAAATCTGGCTTTGAAAGCTAGTGCACAGGTAAAAAGTGAGGTTACGGAACGCCACTGCTCAGAATGATCATGGTGTAATTCTCCTTCTCAACCAAAGTTTCTCATAATTCCTCAAGAATTATAGTCAAAAGCTGTTATGAATTTTCATTAAAATTTGTATTGAATTCTACTCAAGGTTGCCTTGGAGTTCTACTCAGAATTACCTACAAAACTAGAGTTCTAGGACATTGAAAATGATCCAAGGGTTATTTTATGGACATTGACAAGAATAAAAAATTAAACTCATCAGGTAGGTACATGAACTTGGTGAAAGGTGAAATTTTAGAGATGTGGATTCAAATTTAACTTAAACCAATCAGTAAATCAATTATCTATAACACCAAAAGCTACTTATTGATGAAGTGTTCGATTTTAGTTACAATAAAGTTTTTATGTATTGTAACGAAATAAATATTTCACATGGGAATTTGAGACTGTTCAGTTATGGGTAACAATTTAAATTCCAACTTGCCGTATTTCATTCAAAAGAATTTATTTTTATAGAGTTCATCTAAAATAAATTCGAGTTTATCGCTGGGAGTGCCTGAAATTTTCTTTATAACAGTGCAGAAATTCTCTGCAGAACACTAAAACAATCATCAAATTCGTCCTTAGATTCTTTTTGAATTATAAACTTTTTAAAGGAATCCGCCTCCTTAGAAATTCCCATACTGTTCACCTCTGAGTTCTTATAAATTTTTAATCTAAATTGTCTCGGAGTTCTCCTCTAAGTTCTACTGAAAATTCACATGGAGTTCTCCTTAAAATTATCTGAAACTGCTTTCCAAGTAGTTCCTAGTCCAAGTTGTACCCAAGAAATTGTTCACATGGCTACTTTAAAAAAAACACTGATCTCACACAATTGACTTGGAGTCATCCCTAAACTCGCTAGAACTTTTGGTCCGAAGTACCTTGGTAATACAATTCTCTAGAATCTATTCTAAAATCTGTTCAAAACTGCTTTGGAAAAAAGTTCTTTTAATAGTTCTTCAAACTAACTGTATCCTGAAAATCTAATCTTGAGATTTTTTAAAGAAGAAGCACTTTTTTTTCAATTTGGCATCGAAGTTCACGAGTTTTTCCCGGTGACATCGAATTTCCGGTATTTTCCTAATCCCGATTTCCCGGTCACCCTAAATAATGCAGTTGAATCTGGACTCCTCAAAGGTGCGAAACGCAAATAAAAGTGTGCTTTGATGATGTATCGTCTTGGTTTCTTCTGCGTACTTTTTCGTTCGTTAGTTTAATGAACTTTCAACTAAGAATAGTGCAGTACTGTTACAATTTTTTAAACGATTTTTACATTGCAATTCAAGCGGGAATGGCGAAAAAAGTGACTTTAGTGACGTTTTGTCGAAAATAGGGACTTTTTAGTGACCACCTTCAAAAAAGTGACAAAGTCACTAAAAAGTGACCCGCTATCAGCCCTGGGTTTTGAGATATGCACATTTCCCACAAGTTTTGAAATTGCACAGATTTCATGGAGTTTTATTATAATTTTTGAGAACCTCATTCCAAGGGAGTTCTAGGAAGAAAATCTTTGAGAAAAACATCAAGTGGAAGCTGCTTTCAAGGTAGTTCTGAGAAATTTTAGATTTCATGTGAAGCCTGAGATAATTTTGAGTAGAATTTCAAGAAAACCGTAAATGGAATTCGAAGCTAATTTTAATGAAAACTTAGGACATTCTAAAAGTTGCTGCCACCACCGCTCAGGATTTATGCCGCCTTTTTTCCGACAAGTTTGCCTATGTATTCATTAATGAGATACTAACTGACGACCATATTACTATATTACCCTGGCTGCCGAGAACGTTCCAGAAAATGATCAAACGCAGGGTGCAATTGATATTAACGCTGAGATGATTTCCAAGCACGCGACTCTATTCAAGTCTTCCTTCAATCCTGTACCTGATAGAGTTTCATCTGTATTTTTGAAGAGACATATTGTTAGCTTGTTAATTCCGCTCCATAGCCTGTTCCGCATGTCTCTTTCCAGTGGCATATTTCCATCCTGCTGAAAATTTGCGCACATGTTTCCCGTCCACAAAAAGGGAAGGAAACGATCTGTGGATAACTATCGAGGAATTACATCGTTCAGTGCCGTTACGAAGATATTCGAGCTAGTGATTATGTTGCCGTTGCTGTCCCATTGAAAGCAGTATTTGAGTGCTGATCAACATGGGTTTACTGTCGGCCGCTTTAGATAGAGCTGGAATTAGGGCGTAACAGCTTTTGTAAACGATGACTTCCCTCGATGATTTCTAGAAATTCAAGGCTCACTCAAGCAAATCAATGTCACCATCAGGTAGGGGAAGTCCTTCCCTACCCGATGGTTATGTTGGTATGCGTGGGCGCGCCTTGATTTTTTATAAATCATCGAGAGAAGCCATTGTTTACATAAGTTGTTAGGCCCTAATTCCAGCTCTACCTAGATCTTACCGGTCGCCAACTAAAGGTTGCCATAGGAGATTGCAGATCAGCTAGCTTCTTCGGCACATCAGGTATACCTCAGGGAAGTCATCTGGGACCGTTGATTTTTATACTGTACTTCAACCACGTGCATCTGGTCATCGAAGCTCTTCGGTTATCATATGCAGATGACCAAAAAATCTTCCTACGAATCCGCTCGATTGCTGACTGTCACTTTCTTCAACGTCAGCTGAATGTATTCGTTAGTTGGTGCAATTTAAACAGAATGGTAGTGAACCCAGCCAAATGCTGCGCTATTACGTTCTCACGAAAACAACAATCGATAATATTTAGCTATGACCTGGTTGGCTCGACAATCGAACGCTCGAATCAGGTGAAAGACTTGGGTGTGATCTTGGATTTGCAGCTATGATTCAAGCAACAAATTGCATACGTTGTCGATAAGGCGTCAAGAACTTTAGGGTTCTGTTTTAGGATAGCTAAAAATTTGCCGACATCTTCTGTCTAAAATCTCTCTATTGTTCGCTTGTTCGATCGACGCTTGAGTATTGTTCAGCGGTTTGGAACCCAACTACAACAACAGTGCCAAGAGAATCGAATCTGTTCAACGTCGCTTTCTTCATTTTGCGCTACGTAGATAGCATTGAAATGATCCGTTTCGATTACCCAGTTACGACCTAGCCGTTGTCAACTTATCGACCTAGAACTTCTCCGGACTAGAAGAGACATAAGCTGAGCCCTAATCGTGGCCGATATCCTGCAGGGAAGGACAGATTGCGAGGCTATCCTGAAGACAAATTGACCTGAATGTTCAACCCCGACCGCTTCATAACAACCGTATGCTAAGGCTGCCTCTACGACGCACAAATTATGGAGCAAACGGAGCGATTTGCGGACTGCAGACTTTCATCTCACCCATGATGCGCTTCGTCGAAAATTGTCTTCCGTTTTTCGCCGGTAGGAGTAACGGACTAAAGATGTTTTTCATGTTATGACAAAGCTTGAATGTATATTTTGCGTACTATAATTGATAAGGTTAATATCATTGGGGCTTCATCCAGTTGATGTAGTACAACAATAAAACATCATTTCGACTAAATGAGTCTTTTTCGTAATATGAAATATTAAAAACTATCGAATAGGTCAAAATGTCCGAATTCCAACACAAACTTGGTTCATTGCTTCTAGCGAACAATTATGCGAAGTTTCATGGAATTCTGAGAGGTAAAATCTAAAATTTGTTTATTTTTTCGCTATTTTGCGTACAACTGCACTTTTAATTTTGATGTTTTTCAGCGATTATGCGTCTAGGTCCATATTATTATTTTTTTCTTTTTATTCAATAAAAAAAACACTTCTTTCGTATTTCGCAACTTGCTTCCTAGCGCTAGCAATTACCCACGGCCCATACAAATTTTAAAAATTGTGTATGGACAATTGTCTACACAGGGGAAGAGTGGGGGGGGGGGTCAAGAATCCCAAAAAAAAACTGTCTACGTAGCGCCCCTTACTATAACTGAAAATAGTTTGACTTACTCAGAAGTAATTCAACTGCAGAAATGAGAAACTTGAGTTTGATATAAATAAATTGAATCACATCCAGCTGAATGTCGATTGTAAATTAACTTGTATGGAGAGGAACTTCAGACATAATTACATTTTATACAACTATTCTTGCGTATTGAAGATCGTTATAATATGGGCTGTCATCGGAAGGATGTGATGTATTGGGGGGGCAGAGAATAACCACTTACCTTAGCCAATCCAGCCCGGTGAGCACCCTGCGACTCGATGTATTCGACATACTTGGGGAAATTCTTGAACTCTTCCCACGTTGGTCGGAAAACCTGAATTTTCGCACGCAGATCTTCACCCATGGTACTTCTTCTTCTTCTTTTTCTTCTTTAATTTTTCACTGACGGTAGGTAACAGGTAGGGTTGTATGCTTCAGTTTACTTTCACCAATCACATCTACCAACACTAACACTAAGCTTGCAACCGAGCTCACTGGCGTTGCTGTCGGTTGCTTAAGGAAGCTAGTAAAGAATCATAGTCCTGGAAGATAAGACGAAAAAGATGATTTCAAATTAACTGCCCGTGCTCAACGGTAAGGTGTATAGGAAACAAATCGAAAATGGCTGCTTTTGTGCGTTTTACGTATTTGCAAGCTTTTGGGAACAGGTCCTAGAGACAGGTATGCACATGAATTCTCCTGAAGAATAGACAGAACTAGAAGATTGTTACACTTGGACACTTGGAAGGCATGTAGCGGGTAGCGTGCCTATAATTATGTTTTATTGTTTTGACACTTATGTTGCCATAAGTGGCGATGGAAACAGCTTGGACATAACACATTAGACAGCGAACGGGAGGAGGAAAAATCGACGTCCCAATTAAATTCAGATTTTTTTGCTTACAATGCGCTTCATCGTTTTTTTTTAATGATTGAAATGTCGGTGTTCGATTTGAAGTTTGTGATGCTTCTACTAGTTTCAGAACAATAACAAATTTCTGCAATGATTGTTTTCAGGGTGAATACATAAATACCAATTCCATACATCATTTTATTTTTTTATAATTTTTTAAATAAGTTACACAAAAATCGGATATCGCAAGATCAAAATACGAATAGAGAAAATCGCGTGTACTAACATGGAGTGTATGTTAACTACTTTTGATACAATGGCAAAATCTTTGGCATTGTTGTAAAAAATTGGCATTTTACATGTGTTTGTAAATTTTAGAGTTAAAGAATACTAGGACTCACCATTTACCGGTATAAAAATATAAATAGAAAAAAAACTAGCTCTAATCAAGCCTTGATTCAACTTCCTCTAGCTTGGTGACAGATAGAATCTTTGATCATCGGCGAAGCAATTATCACAGTTTACTTTGTTTTTCCAAGAAAGGGTTATGGACGGTTTCGGCCACCAAAGATCATATTCCGAGCACGGGTTAGCAAGCAAGCAAGTCTCGACAATAATAAAAGTGAAACGATTAAAAAAAAGATGCTCTGATGTAAGTAAATATCATACTGTAACAAATGAGCGTTGAGAGTTGTTGTTTACCATATGCTTATAGCGGATTCGTTTTTTTTACCGGAGTTGGAACCCAGAGCGAAACCGAACTTTTGTCAGTGTGAAAATCAACATGAGGTAGGTTTTAAAAACAAACGATCAAACTGACGTTTGTCATAAAACAAGCAGACCCGATTTTGATACTCGATCTAAGTTGGAACATTGCCTATCGATGACTAGGTAGGGTTAATGACTTCAATATCTTTTCCACAGAAGAAAACATTGTTTCAGATTTTTTTTTTTAATTTAATGATTCAATTTTTAGCCAGTTGGCTAGTTCATCTCATCGGTTTCAGAGCATCGTTTAGTCAAAACTGAGCGCTTATGGACTTTTTTTTTATCGCCTGACGATAATAGGTAAAAAATACTACCGAAGCCGTCATTTACTCTACCCGATTTACTTTTATGGGTACAAAACGGCACAAACCTTATCTATACCAAGACAATATTTATATGAAAACAGAGAATTGAGCCCAAAGATGTAGGTTTAACTGAGAATATCATTAAAATTACCGTTCAATAAATGGTACTTGCAAGAAACGTGAACAACTTATGCAGTAATCTCATGTTTAAACATGATGCGCCGAAAGCATGGAAAGGATGTTGATGTGAGCTCTTAGTTTTTCACAATGCATATCTTTAACAACTCAAATGATTACTCCATTTGGCGTATTCATTATAATAACCATGCCGACATTCAGTACTCACAATAAACATCCTTCAGTGATTAATTTTATAGACGCAATAGAAAGTGCTACTCCTTTAGCGACAGTTTAGCAGTAATTACGATACATATGCCAAAAATACAAACAAAAAGAGCACCATCAGCACAAATCAAAGTTACACTTTTCCTTCGCCGCCCTGCTGCACAAAAGCACTATATGTCAGCCAGAGCCGTGGCCTACGTGACTAAATAGCAGGGGCTGAAAGTCACTTTTTCACTCGCTTCTTCCGCGCCGTTATCCACTCCCAGAATCCAAATGCTTGCACCGCAACCTCCGCCCACGACAGAACATAAGCCAATTACGACACCTTCGCCAAAATCTGCTTCGGAGTTGCAATCGATCCCGGCCTGAATTTCACAATTTTGATAATAAATTACCACAGCACTACGGGATTTCGAACGAAAAAAATCACAAAAAAAAATAAACCCAAGCTGGTAGACACCGATCGCAGCTATAGAGCAGAGCAACAACACACGCACAAAATGGAGGAGCTTCAACACGAAACTCGCTTTTCGCTGAGCTCAACATGGCCTAGGTGGAAAAAATTAAAATTTCCCAAAATTACGCACCTTTTACGAAGTTTTACATATTCGACCGAAACTTAAGATATTCACCATGATTTTTTGCTATTTTTTAAACGTTTCAACGACAATTTAAGCTGTTTTAATCCATTTTCTTCACTACAGAAAAAACTTTCATTTCGAACAACACGACGAACGAATGACGGACCGTACCGTACGCGAGAGATTTTTCTTCTAATCTGCTCCGTTGCTGAACGGACGCTCGGCGGTGAACCAGGGGATTTTGCTGCCTCTCTCAGGGTGCGAGAGCAAGATGGCGATCCAGGGTGAAGCTACGCTCAGAAAGAGATGCAAAACGAAATCGACTGCACTATTGCATACGATGCAGCTAGCTGCAAGTGAACTTTTGGAAAATGTCAACACTGACATCTGGTCTAGATAACTTTAATGCGATATTTTTTCAGCCTGTATTTATATCACGGAGAAACGAAACAACTCAAAATTAGGCATTTTGAACTCGTCTTGACACCTACACTGAGCATAATTGTGTAGTAATTCGTGCAAAAACCTATATTTTTTCCATCAGCCCGAAAAAAAAAATTATTAGGATAAAACCTCGGATAAAACATCGATATCGTGACTGCCTTCAAAAACGCTGTACAGACTGGAGAGTTATAACATGTTATTTATAGGAAAGTTTGAACATACTGAGAGGTAAGCACATATTATCGGTAAGAGACGTGTGTGTGAGAAAATTTGCGAAAAAATCTAAGGGCACCGGTGGGATTTAGATTTTTTTTAGAATTGGCCCATAGATTTTTTCGCAAATTTTCTCACTCACACGTCTCTTACCGATGATATGTGCTTACCTCTCAGTATGTTCAAACTTTCCTATAAACAATTAAATTGACTGCAAAGTCGCTAAACCGTAAATCAAAAAATATAACATGTTATAACGGTTGTCAAATAATTGCAACACAGAAACCACCATCAAGATAGCGCTATAACATGTTATAACTCTGTAGTCTGAACGTACTATAACACCCCAATGGGTCTGGGTTCAATCCCAGCCGAGGTCGGTGGGATTTTTCTGAGGCATAAAAATCTCTGGTCACGTCTTCCTTCGGAAGGGAAGTAAAGCCGTTGGTCCCAGCCCATGTGTGTTGTGAATGGGTGCGATATCCTACGCAGGTGTGGAAGCTGCCTTCCTGCACATTCGATTGTCGTCAATGGATGGTAATCGATGTCCGTCGGTGATTGGCACTAGATTGCGGAACAGAGACCGACGTTATATAAAGGAAAGAAGAAAACATCGATATTACAATGATTTCTCGTTGTTCTCGTTGCTCCACGCACCGTTCAGGAGGAAAAGCACAACTTCATAATGAATGGGGATTTTGTGCATTTGTGATCGACCGCGCTGTGGTTGCACTTCATGATGGCGTTCGCCAGGGTTGCTTGAGAACTCGACCAATCCGGTGGAGGAACTTTACGATTTCAGCGGGAACATTCGCACTTGCTGTCCTTGGTGGTGAATGCAGTCAGCAGCAGATCCTCGGCCGGGATACGGGTGGGATATTGAAGAAGTGGAGAATGCGATTTTTGCTGGCCTGGGAAGCGATTGTTCTTGGAGGCGCTGTAGACCTTGAAGCTGATCGAATTGTCCATGTCCGGGTTGATGGACTCTGACAAGTAGTTCTGCTTGGAAAATGCAATTTGAATTTTGCTACCACCATTTCCATTTATTCGATGTTGTTCAAGTGCTGGATGCTGCGTTCGACTGGTTCAACTACGATGGCGTCTCCCATCTGGACCATGGCGGTACCCTCGTTGGTCTTCAAGAACTTTATCCTGACCGAGATCCTGACAACATTTCTATACAAGCAGAACAGATTGAACAGCTTATCGGTGTTGGCTGTGTTGTTATCGATTCCGTAGACCATCATCACTGCGCCCTGTTGCTGTGCCGGTTGAATGAAGTTGACTGGTCCGTTTCGAGTCAGCGGTGCGTCCTTCATCAGTCCGACGTGTGTTCCGGCCGGTGTTGGTTTCCAGTTTTCCGACCGATGATACTCGGGCGGTGCAAATCCGTTTCCTCCGCCGGCTCCCAGAAGGACTGGTTGACTACTGATTGACGTTCGTTGTGCGGGGTCGGCCTTCCGCCGAAGATGGAAGGATCGTGTAGCAACGGAGCTCGTCCGTTGCAGTGTATAGTCCCAACGGGAGTCCGTGTCGTTTTTGAAAACATTGAAAAACAAAACAAAAACAAGAGCTGTTAAAATACCGGGTTGCCAAGCAAGGCATTATTCACAAGCAAATAAAAGTCAGTTCAATGACTTCTTGGCACTGCCCATACAGCTGCGGCACACTGAGGTACACCGAAAAAAATGTTGGCGCAAAATTAGTGGGTAGAGTGACCACCCCTTGGGGAGAAAAAATAAATTTCGATTTTTAACGATGCAATGCTCAAACCGAGGGGCTGTCATCTTGAGTATTTTTGATTCATCTACCGGACTTGAAAAGGTGTATTTTGTATTTTTTTCGTATATACATATATATATATGTGTATTTTTAAGTTTTGTGTATTTTTGCCTCGATTTTTGCATTAAAGTGTATTCAATTCATTATGATATGTATTTCGCGTGTAAAAAGAATTTTCGAGGTATTTTTGAATATTTTTATTCGGGTGTTTTAATTTCAACGTGTACACATTCACGTATTTTTTGTGTATTTTCCAAAGTGTTTATTTACAATTCAGCTGATTTAGGAAGTCCTCGGCTCAAACAATCAAAATTAGTGTGATGAGATCAAATTTGTTCGGGAAAAATTACTTTCTTTATAGTTAAGATGCTTAACAACCCCCCTTATTTGCTGAAAATTTCTCAAATACCATGATTTTCATTGTTGTGAACCATGAATTTCGTTGTTACTTTATGGTATTTGTCAAATATTTTGACTGTAAATATCATGGTTACAATGACAATGTAAATCATTTTATTTTATTGAATTTTTTTAAGGGATGGCATAACCTCGGCATAAAATAGTTAAAATTACGACAGTTCCTACACAGCCAAAAAAAAATGTAATATCGATCAACGTAATTCAAGCTGATGTATGAAATAATGATGTAATAGCAAAACGCAGATACAATATTACATCAATGGATGCAATTTTGTTCGCAAAATCGATGTACATCGTACAATGTGATATTACACAACCGATGGATTGACCTGGTTGCAGCAGTTTCGATGTAATATTCAACAACTTTTTTTGCTGTGTAGATAATGGTTGAATCTTCCATAGGCATCTTCTAGGCATTGGTTGCCAAGGCAGTTTGTTTTGAATCCGCTTCGCTCTTATACTATACCCTCTCTAGTATTCTTCTTTAAATCTGAAAAGATGCAATGGAAAACATTAATTTGTACATAGAACAAAACGTTTATTTTACTTTTTTAATTGCATCTTCGATTATCGGTAATTTTTACCGATATCTAGGTATTTTTTACCGACTTTAAGGTATGTGCATCTTAGCGTGTATAAATTTTTAAAAGACATCGAAATGCGATGAAGCTGGGTACGCACGGCCAATGAGAATAACCCCTTTTCTGTGATACCCATTAGTAGAGTCGGTGTATAATGAGTCACGCCAAGAGAAAAACAGTTGAACTCGCATCACGGTTTTCGAAACATTCCCATTCTTTTCACTTGGCAATAGAGGACTTCTACAACAACTTCAAATGACTTCTAGCGAGAGAAAAAATATTGCGGCTGTAGTAAATCATGATATCAGTGATTTTGTCAAATTATCTTAACAAAAATAGTAGAAATTCTCATAACTAATCATTACCGAGCGTATCCCATAACAATTTAACGCTCACTGCGTGTTTATGCTCATTTCTTCGATTATATTTTATATATTATTGCAATACCTTTCGTGGACCTTTCATAGCATCGTAATGTTTATTTACTTACACCGACTCTACCCATTAGAAACATCCTGAGTAGAAGTTAATGTCCTTTATGGAGATTGCTAAAGTGTGATTGTGTCAGTGATTTGTTTTCATCAGGAAAATTTACCGCTATGAAGTTTTTTTTCTTGTTGAAAACATTGCCCTTTTCTCGCCACCCATATGACACCAACGCAAACCTTTAACATCACCGGGTAGGGGACACTTTCCTCTACACTGAAAAAAGTTTTCATATAGTTTCCATTGGAAACGCACATGATATTTTTCCAATAACAAAATTAATGATTTTTATCTGAAATTCAAATAACGTTCATACGATCACATGAATTGTATATGACAAATCACATAAACTTCATTGGACACATAAGGTTCATGTGATTTTGTGATGCTATTCCCAATTATGAGATCACATGAAAGTTAAGTGAAATTCTAATGGATATTTTCCATTGGAAATGTGATTTATTTTTTGAGTGTACCCTTTTGCGTGGGCAACACACTTAAACAGAGACCCTGAGTTCGGTAAATAAAATTACCGTCTTAGATCGGTAATCTTAAAAATTACAGATGTTTCGGTATTTTCTCGCTATATTGCTGAAAACTGTAAATAAAATTACCGAATTTCGGTGATTTCATTTCAATTCAACGAAAACGGTAAAAAAAAATACCGGCAGATCTGTAAATAAGCTTAATCACTGACTTCGGTAAAATATTTTACTGAAGTTTCGGTAAACAAAGCGTTCCAATACCGAATTCGGTAGCTTTCACAGCGAGAAACGTCAAATCCGCCGTAATGTGTTTTTGACCTTTAAAAAAAAGTGTGTAAGTGGAAACTGTTATGAAAAACAAAAAGTGAAATGATGTTACATTGTTTTGATACAGCGCTCCGTTGACAAAATTGCAATATCTATTACTTGTTTTCCTTAGATTGTACATATTTTTAATTATTTCAGACAGCACATCTTCGGTTTCGAGAAATTTTCTGATTTGAAACTCTAAGTTCATTAAGATTAAATGTGTAGTTTTGATGTTCGTGTCACTTCCTGCTTCATCGATACTACCGTTTTTAGCAATAAATACTCTCGGTTTACTGAAAAGGTCCGCCTCTATAAGAAACTTAAAGAACTTGTGCTCTGTATCAATGCAATTAAACATTGAAGACACGTTTTGTAGATAAACGTCTGTAATATACTGTGTTTGTGGGTCTCATGCCTGCAAAGGTACTATGGAGCGGATCAGGTTTTCAAGGTGACTATATAATTTCTTGACGCTAGTCTGGACATCAAAAACATCCTTCCGTGTTATGTTGCGTCGCTTGTGGAGGTCAAGCACGAAGTTCAGTGCCATGGGGTCAATGTTTTGTAATGACTGAAGAATCTCACAGCTAGCGGAAGTCATTGGTCTCCTTGGGAAGGTACTCCTGCATCTGATTCCTAGGATTGGAAAGATATATATTATTAGTGATGTTCAATAACTTGAGGAAAAGTGGAGTCGGTCGAAATATTTCGTGGGGGGTTTTGGAACAGTTTTTTTTTCTCGATGTTTTCCATTAAAAAAAAACTCGCCATAGATGGTTCCATCGTGATATCTACCACAAACAAAAAGATCATCATCGCTTACCGGTCTCCTGGCTGGTCTTCCCGTCCACCGGATAGTGTTATTCCGAATTCTTCGGTGGTCTCTCGTCCTACAACAGTTCCTTTCCGACAGAAAAAAAAACCCACACCACACCTTGCACCGGACAACAATTCAGCAGCAGCATCAAGGCAGGATCAGCCAGCGCCAGCTTCTACGGGGCAGCCATGGCAGGCGGACAATTTTATTCTTCGCTCCCTGTCCGTCCGTACCCTAGCTGTTCACTTTGCAATCGGAATTGCTTGTTAGCTTCTAGCTGCTTTTTATCTTGTTCTGTCCGTCCGTCGGACGAAACCCCACGCACACCACACACACTCTCGGAAGCTCACGGATAGGAAAAAAATAACCAGCCAAAAAGCAGCGGAGAAAGGCTAGCACTGCGGTGCACTAAAATGCACCTTTTCTGCGGTCACACTTGGCACCAGCTGCTTCCCGCGGCTTCCGGCAGTAATTTTGCACCACTTTGCGACAGTTTTTCACTAATTTTCACCAATTTTTCGATCACTGGGAGCCACCAAAAACTGCGAATGTTGCCCCTTTGCTCAGTGCGCGTTCATCCAGCTGCGAATATAAAATGGCGAAGCCAAAACGCAACGGGAAACTGGAACGATATGAATCGCATGACAGTTGTTGTATGATTTTCGTCATGGGGCTAACTTGGATGATTTTACTTCATTTCTGTTCTTGAATTCATTTTTTGTTAATACCTTTCAAAATTTGAACGGTACTTCATTAAGTGGTTGATGTTAGTTTCTTTTATGATATTTATGATGAATCATCCCATTTAATGTCAATTATCAGTCAATCGGGTATCTCATATTATTTTCGATGTTAATGAAATCGGATAGCTCTGAATGATTAATCATGCAATGACGACATGGTAAATTTGCTCAGTGTATAAACGTCATTGAGTAGAAGTGACTCTCCCTCTCTCTCTGAGCTATTCTCATTGGCCGTGCAACATATTTTTGTTTACTTTTTTTTGTCCGGATTGATATTATTTCATGGTGGTGTTTCCTTTGGTATTTTTTTTTTTGTCTGCTAAAGCAGAAATTTTATAATGAGTATACAAAACTCCTCAAAAATAGAATTGTGTCGATTGTGCTTAACAGATGAAGGTGTCACTTGTCCTATTTTTGCGGTAGGGGCTTCAAATCTCGTCAAAATAATCCTCGAGTGCACCTGCATTGAGGTAACTTTGTTGACAAAACATTCACCCGAAGTTCAAATAGAAACACGATTCACACATTTGTGTTCCATAATATGTTTCGGATTTCAGATAGAACCAATCGATGGAGTACCATCAAACATCTGTGAGGTTTGCAAATCAAAGTTAGTAATTTGTTCACAATTTATCAGGCAATGCCAGAAAACTCAGGAGAAAATTCGAAAGCTCTACGAGAGACACTTTGAGTCACAGAAGTGCCATGATCCAAACCAGGAACTGGAAATTGAGGAAATCGAACTAATCGAATATGCACCAGACCAGGAAGATTTGCAAAATGAAACTAATAATGCCGGTTGGGCCAAAACACCTGAGGCTGAGGAAGTTTATTTGGTTGAGATTGTTAAACAACCACATCAAAAAGGTACTGAAAAGGTCGTTTCTGATGAAAAAAAGATTCAGGTTTTTAAAAACGACTGTAGTGAAGAATCGGATAAACCTGATGATACCATTCCCGAAGAAGTCCCATTGAACAGTAAACAGAATTTACCAACGTCCACACATACTTCCAAAAACCAGAATGATTCACTGCCTATTGATACGGTTTCACAAAGTTCATGTGAAGGATTTAATCTTGACCAAATGAAGGATAATTCGGTCATTATAAATGAAGGAGGTATCAAAAAATACAAAAAGAAATGCCCCATTTGTGGAGTCTTGCAACAAAATTTGAAGCAGCACATGAACGTACATTCTGGAGCTAGAAAACATGTTTGCGCATTTTGTGGCAAAGCATTTTCCCAAAGGGGCAATCTGACTTGCCACCTCAACATCCACACAGGATATAAACCCCACAAATGTGATCAGTGTAGTAAAAGCTTCGGGGACCCAACAGCGCTTAAAATGCACAAAGTAATCTAATCTTATCAATTTTTCTTTTATCATGAATCATAATTTTATGATTTTGAGTTTCAGATTAATCACTCAGATGAGCCCAACTTCGAGTGTGATTTGTGTCAAACTACGTTCAGGTTCAAGCATTCCCTACAAACCCATTTGCGAAGTCACAGAAACGAACGAAATCATGCTTGCAGCTATTGTGATATGGCTTTCGTCACTAGGTATGTCATTTGTCTATTATAAAGTTAGCAAATTTGGCCTAATCCCGGGAAACATTTCAGCTCCTCTTTGAAGAAACACATACGCACCCATACGGGTGAAAGACCGTACAAGTGCGATCTCTGTACGAAATCCTTTATCTGCGGTGGCCATCTACAACAGCATAAGAAAACTCATTTTCGAGATAATGCGTACCAATGCGAGAAATGTAAAACTGCTTTTAAAACTAAAGCAACACTGAAGCACCATATGGAGATTCATGACATAATTTCATGCGCATTGTAATTTATCAATGAAAATTAAATGCTTGAAGCATTCTTTCACACGGATCTGTGTTTTTTTTCATATGATTACCCTTAACCATAACAGTTATAATGAGCAATAAAGAGCCTGAATTTATAAAGAGACATCTTATCCATTTGACAGGTCTTCTGCACGATTGGAATGACTTTTCCTATGACTTTGACAGACAATCGATTGTTCCAATTTTGACATGTCGCCTCTTTATAAATTTAGGCTTTTTAATGAGCAATATCAGCGCCGGCCGCATCCAAATGCAGGTCAAGGAATGTATTGACGTGATACTTGCTTCGCTGGATTTCGAGAAACCCTCTGCATTTGCACGAGAAATCACTGGGATATTGGGTAAAGGCGTCAGGATTGTAGCATTGTTCGTTTTGGCAAACAGTACGCTGAACTAAAGTAATTTGATGAAAACAAAAAAGCAACTAACGAATGTTGAATGCGAAGGGGCTGGAGATTAAACCCATGATCTGCTCAGTAAGCACTCCATTTATGATCGAATTGTTGTAGTAACTATTCCAAGCCGGCAACGACGACGAAAAGCACGACAAAACTCTCAGAAGTGCCATGTGGCGCACATTAGGATCGAAAACTGTAAGATTCTAATTACGGTATACTGGACACTACAGGGCTGACAGGGGCAGCAGTACTATGTCAAGCACCTCAACGGTAATACAGCAGAAAACGAAGGTGGCACGGCAACAGACCTTGGAGCACGCGCAGAAGACGACAGACTACCGGCCCCTGATCTTCAAGAAGTTGAGGAGGAGATCGGTCGACTGAAGAACAACAAATCAACTGGTGTAGATCAACTTTCAAATGAGCTATTAAAATGCGGTGGTGAAGCACTGGCTAGAGCGCTGCACTAGGTAATTGCCAAGATTTGGGAGGAGGAGATATTACCGGAGGAATGGATGGAAGGTGTCGTATGCCTAATTTCCAAAAAGGGCGACAAGTTGGATTGCTGCAACTACCGCACGATCACACTGCTGAGCGCTGCCTACAAGGTACTCTCCCAAATTGTATGCCGCTGTTCATGTGACAGGAAAAGATGAAGGCCCCAGCCCAGGTTTCGAAAACATCTTGAAAAAACCTCATACATATGAGTTCTAGATTCTATGATTACCTGGTACTGATTTTCAATCAGTGCCTTAGGCTTGGTTACTTCTCTAGTGCTGATAGTTGCTCAGTCCAAAGTCTCCTTCCAGCTACAGACCTATCAGCCTGCTCTCAGGGTTATCAAAGCTCATTTAAAAAGCGATTTACCGATTTATTCTGACATCTGCCGATAAAAAAAAAAAAACATCTTACTCGAGTCAGTTGGTTTTCGACAAGGTCGGACGACTACTCACCAACTGACTCGAGTAAGCAATACTCTCAGACGGAACAAACCCCACACACATCAATATATTGACGCGAAGGGGAATTATTGACAATAATATTGATGATGTGAATTCAGAAATATTGTCAATCTCGATGTATTGACGTCAATATATTATGTATTGACAATACGATTATTGTCAATAAAAGCAATCGTGTAGGGTCCACTTAAGACATCTGCCAAGGCATTGTTGGACGTTGAAAAAGCGTTCGAAAATGTCTGACATGATGGGCTACTACAACGAAGATCATCCAAAATTACCTATCAGGCAGGACATCTCAACGGCATCACTTCTTATGCCTTCAACATTGGCGGGAGCGTTGCGCAAGAAAGTATCCTTGCGCCCATCCTCTTCAACTTGTTCATCTCCGACATTCTGGCTCTCCCAAACATGGAACATTGTCTCTATTTACATCATCAGTGTTGACGAGGAAAACAGTTTTTTTTTTTATTAAATAGCAGGCGGCACAATCGTCATCTACACGAAACGAAAATCAATTATTTTATTCATGTGTTTCACTTATAGTACGTTCAGACTACAGAGTTATAACATGTTATAGCGCTATCTTGATGGTGGTTTCTGTGTTGAAATTATTTGACAACCGTTATAACATGTTATAACTCTCCAGTCTGGACAGCGTTTTAAACGCTGTACAGACTGGAGAGTTATAACATGTTATAACGGTTGTCAAATAATTGCAACACAGAAGCCACCATCAAGATAGCGCTATAACATGTTATAACTCTGTAGTCTGAACGTACTATTATACATTTTTGCCAAAACATCAGCCTTATACATTCCATAGAGTTCTCTACCACCGTGAGCAGTTTCACTAATACAAGCGTTTTACTGGTTGAAAATAAAACAAACCGCTGTCAAGTCGAACACTTTCACAGCTGATTTCGTGGTTGAAAATAATAATAAACAAATCGATTTTACAGGGCTACACTAGCAACGTTGTATTGGTGAAATCTTGCGGCAAGAAGTCAATAAGACAAACCACCCAATCGCCAAAACTTAAACCGTCTCCCTTCTGTACCGTAATAATGAATGGTACAAGGGTCGAGTGGTCCGCTGTTGTTACTTATCTCGAGATGTTGTTCGATGAGAAGCTCCTGTTCCGCTCGCACATAGAGAAAACGCTAATTAAGTGCTCCGCCTTGGTTAGGTGTTTGTATCCGCTTATTTGCCACAGATCCCGCCTCTCAAGGCAAAACAAACTGGCTGTCTACAAACAGATCATAGGCCCCGTGATCTTCTATGCCGCCCCGGTGTGGGAATCGTGCGCTCAGACCCACAGGAACAAAATCCAGGTTGCACAGAATAGAGCGCTGAGGATGATCCTGGATCGTCCATTCGACACAAGAATAGCAGACCTCCATCAAGAGGCAGAAATTCCCAAAGTAGATTCCAAAATTGAGGATATGACAACCAAATTTATCCAAAAATGCAATCTTTCTGAACATGCTTTAATAAGCAATTTGTACATATAGTAGGTTAAGTTTATATAGTAGAGTAGGTTAGTTTTAAGCTGTAAATAGGAGTATTAAGTAGTTTCTATTCAAATTCTAAAAACAAAACGAACCAATCCCACCAAGGTGGTCGACCGTGTACTAAGTCTAAGACAGAATTTTGCCCATACCTAAAGATGAAGAAAGCAATTAAATCACGTAGAAAAATGTATATGGTAATCATCCAAGTTGAACTGAAATAAAGATCATTTAAACCGAAAAAAACGGAAAAGCAAGCCTCAGCAGATAGGTGCTGACCATCGGTAGGGGAGAACAGTCCATTATGCACCCCCGGGGTAAAATAGCGCCATGCGGGTTTTCGTTGCTTTCCCATTACTAATTCTGGAAATATCATGTGCCAGAATGTTAGTTCAAGCACTAAACTAGCAATGCTGATTGTTAAATTCACGAATTGACAATCGGAAAGCTATGAAAAACAGCGCAGGGCCATTTTACCCCAGGGTTGCGTTTTGAACCATCCTACCGTAACTTTTAACACCAAGGCTGAAACGGGGCGATGTGCGGTTTCTATAGGTGAGGAGGATGTAAGCAAGTCGACTCTTTCGTTCTCTCGGTTTCGAATGCGTTACGTCACGTCTGTTGCTGTATAAGAACGCGATGAGAATGAAAGAGTCGACTAGTTTCCTTGCACCTTACCTGTAAATAGCGCACATTTGACTCGGTATGTCAACACGGTGAACTGTTTCTTTCTTTTTCACTCCACCGAAAGGACCAATGCCGCCAACGCAAATACATGCGTCTTTCCTAATTCACAGACTGAAAAAAGCAAAAAAAAAAAACACGATCATTATGACAATGATCATGATCTGATCACGGTTGTTCATCAGTTGTACATAATCCGAACAACACTTATTAGGTTTTGCACCGTCGGGGTTAACCTCAATCTGATGACAGTTTAGTGGTACTGTTTACGTGGACTTAGCGGATTTTTTCTTGGGTGGATTTTCTCGATAATTTTTCAGACTGCAGTGAGATGTAAACCACACTTCTGCACTGTCCACGAGCAACATCCTTTCACCGCGCTGTTCCTCGACAATTTTCAAGTTAAAATTCGGAAATTTTAGAATTTGTTTTTTCGAAAAAACGACTAAGTGCTTGTAAACAGTACCACTGAACTGTCAAAAAGGTTCAGCCTATTAACACTGAGTTCATTTGTGACGTCACGCTGCAGAACCTAATTATACTTTATACTCTTCTTCTTCTTCTTCTTCTTCTTTCCTTCACGGAGAAAAAATACTACCCAAAATTTGAGTTCCTTTTACTTAATATTGACTTCAGCCTCTCACTTGCACTCGTTATTGTTGTCAAAAAAGGAACGAGAGATTCGACCCAACGATATAGTTCAGCCCAATAAGTTACTTGTGAGTAAATTGCATATTCTTAAATTTGCGTGAATTAAACTTAATTTTGGGTAGAATATACTTAAGAGTAGGTAATTTTTTTGCTGGTGTTAAATGGAAACTACTATATGCGATTTACTCAAATTTGGGTTATTGGGCTGAACCCCGGAATTGAGGGAAAAGTACTTAATTTTGGGTTGTTTTTCATCTCCGTGTTTATTTAACGTCGGTCTCTGTTCCGCAATCTAGTGCCAATCACCGACGGACATCGATTGCCATCCATTGACGGCAATCGAATGTGCAGGGAGGCAGCTTCCACACCTGGGTACACGGAAACGAATTTTGTTCATTTAAATCAAAAATATAAATGTTCGTTCCTTAAACATATTAATCATTCAAAGTAAATTAAAAACATGTTTGCATAATGTATTTTTGAAATAAAGTCAAAAGCATTTTTATTTCAACAATATATAATATGAGTAAACTAGTTTTACCGTGTCATTACTCAATTTTTTCTTCTTGTTTACATTTGGCAGAATTTAGCTCCAGCTATTGACGAGTGCACGGATGGATTTGAGTTCACTCACTCGACAAAAAGTGACACAACAGCGGGGCCCTGTTTACTAAAAATGAACATATATGTGTTCATTTTTAGTAAACAGGGCCCCGCTGTTGTGTCACTTTTTGTCGAGTGAGTGAACTCAAATTCATCCGTGCACTCGTCAATTCCTCGGAACTCAACCGAAAACGACCGGCAGGCGGCGAAACCGAAGTCATCGA